CAGTGCCTTGAATGAAACTAGTTGGTCTCATTCCAGTGTCTAGAGAACAGGTGCGTGCATCACTAAAGGAAGTGGGGGGTGGGGGATATCTACTGCTCATTAACATCTCTGCTGGCAGGCTTAGCAGAAAGTCAAGAGTTGAGTGTCTGTGAAAGAGGCCGATTTGCTCTGGAGCAGAGAGGAACACACTGATGAACAACTGTGAAACCACAATTCTCAATTAGTGCCCATATACCACAACTCCAGACCCTGACACATGCCCGGGTGGGCATAGTCTACAGAAGGTCATGTTTGAGTCTTTGAGCCCTTTGAAAAACCCAAAAGGCAGCAATCGTTGGCAGCTCCTTCACTAACTAAAACAATAAATACGTTGCTGGTTGCATTTCCAGTTTAAAGTCTGTTTGTCCAATGAAATTCTTCCTGTCTGTGATTGGCTATCTTTCAGAACTCTGCATCTGCATTACTCATCAGGCATTCATCTAGTGTGCTCCTTACATGATTTCATAGTTCAGCACATCCAAACAAGTACTGGGGTTCTGGCCTGGAATAAGTGGCCTCCTTTAAAATTGTGATATCTACTGCTGATTCCAGAACTGTTTTCTTGCCCACAAAAACCTCAAAGAAGCCTCAGAGTTCCTTGAGAGAGCCCTGCTTATCAAGTCTAGTTCCTCAAGGCTCTATCCAACCCCAAACACATTCCTTACCTCTCCCAGTCTTATCTTTCCTTATTCCAACCTCATCATTTCCTCCCCAATCAACCAATTTGTCTTGCTTTCATTATATGGTTGGCAGTTCTCTGTTCCCTTGAACGTTTTATCACCTCCCCCAAGAATAGTCTCTTCTCTTTTTTCAACTAATCCACTGCCATGACCTATCTCCTCAAAGACTTGGCTTAGAACTACCTAATGAGAAGAAGAGCATTCTCAGACCAGCCATGCATTGGGCATAGTGAGTGGTATACTGTATACTCTCTGTGATTGTATTATCTCTCTGATCACCAGGTGGAAACTTCAAGGACAAGACTATTACCATCATGGTCTAATACAATGCTTTGCACACAGATGTTCCAAGAATACTTGTGAATTAAAATGAATGTAATTTTTTGAAATGTTCAAAAAGTTAGTTAACACAGAGGTGATTTTTTAAAAAAAATAGAGCTTAGTTTGTGGATCCACTTTTCAAACACAATAAATTGATGATGGAGGTAAAGTACTATGGACTGAATCCAACCCCAACCACAACGAATAGTTGTGTCTTCCCAAAGTCATATGTTGAAACCCTAAACCCAAGATGATGGTATTAAGAGATAGGTCTTTGGGAACTGATTAGTTATGAGGATAGAGCCCCCCTAAAAGGGATTAGTGCCTTATAAAGAGGCTCCAGAGAGACCCCATGTTTCTTCAGCCACGTGAAGACACAGGGGAAAGATGGTTGCCTATGAACAGAAAGTGGGCCCTCACAGACAAAGAGCAGGCCTGAGTTGGACTTCCCATCCTTCAGAACTGTGAGAAATAAGTGTGTGTTGTTTGTAAGTCACTCACTTTATTGTATTTTGGTCATAGCATTCCGAAAGAGTTAAGACAGTAAGTAAAAGAGAAGTAAAAGGAATGATTAACCATCAGATCTTAGCCTCCTCCACTGCTAATTCCACCATTTCTTGATGAATTATAACAGGAACTATTGCTTGATGAGTATACTCTTTGCCAAGCACCAGATATACTTTGTCATATTACCCTAAGATAGAAACTATTTTTTTTTTTGAAGAGTTGTTTGTTTCTTCAATCCTCACCGAGAATATGTTTATAGATTTTTGGAGAGAGAGGAAGGGAGGGAGAGAGAAACATTGATGAGAGAGATAAATATCAATTGGCTGCCTCCCATATGTACCCCAACCAGGGGTCAAACCCAAAACCTAAGTATGTGCCCTGACAAGGAATTGAACCCGAAACCTTTTGGTGTATAGGATGATACTCCGTCCACCTGAGTCACCCTGCCAGGGCAACACTGTTATGCTTTTATTAGCATTTTGCAGAGGAAGAAACTAAGGCTTAGATAAGTTAAGCAAATTGCTCAGAATCACAGTGTAAGTAGAAAGTCAGCTTCTGCTGAACTAAGAGGGAAGGATGGGAAGAGGTGGGAAGGAAAGTACATGGGAAAGAAGAATCATTTGGTCACATTTTGCAGAGCGGCATCCAGTTCAACCTTCACGCCTAACTGAGGTGGCCGCAGGGGTGTGGCCCAGGTCTCCCCTTCAGGACCCAGGGAGGCCCTCGCTTCCCATCAGCTAAACCCAAGCTGCGATCTGTCCTTGGAAGAAGAGAGCTGCCTCAGCCACGCTACCGGCCCTCTCAGGGTCAGATGAAGGGACACAAAAACCTGAGCTCCTTGACTCACTTTAGGATATTGTTGAAGGGTCACCCCAACTTCAGCAGTCCCATAGAACCAGCCAAGGCCTCGAGGACAATATCCCAGCTCAGCTGTCCCAACCGCCCAATTCTGCCTTCCTCCTTCCCTCCCTGACATTGTTGTTCCTGAGAGCACACCCCTAAACATCTCCTGCAGGCAAATCTCTGCCTTGGAGCCTATTTCCCAGGAAGCTGCCTGAAGACACTAAATGTTAGTGGGAAAGCAGAAATCAGGGGCCACAGTCTGTACTCCTGCCCAACAATTTTCAACCTTTTTTATCTCATGGCACACATAAACTTATTACTGAAATTCTGCAACCACCAAAAAAGGTCTTATATTTTTTTGCTGATCTGACAAAAATAATAGGTATCATTCTGATTCATTCACACTGGACAGCTATTATTGTTTTAGCTGCTGTTAATTTTTTATTTGACAATCTAGGGCTGTGATCAGCAAACTCATTAGTCAACAGAGCCAAATATCAACAGAATAATGATTAAATTTCTTTTGAGAGCCAAATTTTTTAAACTTAAACTATGTGGGTAGGTACATTGTTATAAACTTTATTAGGGTACTCCTAAGCTGGCCTGCGAGTCACACTCAAGGGGCCAAAGAGCTGCATGTGGCTCATGAGCCGCAGTTTGCCAACTACTGATCTAGGGGAAACGAGGTCAGTGCCCCTGACTAAATAGGCATTTCAGGTATTGCATATTTTAAAAGTTCTCATGGCACACCGATTGAAAATCCTTTCTCTAACCAGAAACCAGGAGCAAGATGCTGGAGGGACACCTCCAAATCTCCTCACCTCGTGTGTGATAGATGCGGAAAACCTTGTGGCTAGGCAGAGCCTGGATGTGCAGCCCTCCTCCCCATGTTCCCTTTGCTCCGGCTGGTGACCTTCCCTGTCCCCCTCTCCCATCAAGTACCCAAACCTCGACATGCTCTCTCTTCTCACCCCTCTTTCCTATCAAACTGTGTTTTCAGGAGAGGATTTGATCAACTTATTCACACACACACACACACACACACACACACACACACAAAATAATTAGATTCATGTATTGCTGCTTGGGATTGAAAATAAGCTCTTGCTCATTCCAAGTTTAAACCAAGGAAAAGATTTGTCCAGCAAAATTCCAGATACTTACTTACTTGCTCAGTTAAGACATATTTGAGCTCCTGCTGTGCAGAGCTGGGCAGGCGCTGTGTGAAAGGGGACTGTTTTAGGTTAGGGGTGCCCACCACAGCCTTTAGCAACTAACCACAGTGGCTGACACCTCGGACCTCTGAGACCTCCACTGGACGTCCATCTATGTCCCCGCTGCCATGAGGGTGTACACTCATTTTATACTGGTCTATGGGGCCACGAGCAGCTGATGAATCTCCACACTGCAACAGGAGCAGGCATCTCTGGATGGACCCCCCACTCCTCCAGGACTAAATGCAAATCTAGTCTTTTCATATGGAATTCATTTCACCAGCAAAACAAAGAAGTAAGCAATCAGTCCCTCTCTCTCAACTCAAAAGCTAGCGAAAAGCTTTTCTCAAGATCCTAGGAGATGGTTTAGAAGAGGCAGCAGCCTTTTAAATCCAGTCTTCCCTGCTCTTCAGTAGAGGTGTGTTTAGCTACTTTTGGACAAGTTCGAGGTAAAGGGCACGCAGGAAAAATTCACAGAGAGGTTTGCCACAGGCTATCTACTCTCTGGACGATTCCTATGTCTCTGATGGAAGATGTTACTTCTAAATTTCTCATGTCTCAAAAATGAACACAGGCCCTGGCCAGTTTGGCTTAGTTAATAAGAGCATCGGCCTGCGGACCAAAGGGTCCCAGGTTCCATACCTGGTTAAGGGCACGTACCTCGGTTGTAGGCTTCTCCCGGACCCAGGCCCTGGTCTGGGTGGGGCACATACAGGAGGCAACCCATTGATGTGTCTCTCTCACATCTACGCTTCTCTGTCTTCCCCTTTGTCTTCCACTCTCTCTAAAAATCAATGGGAAAATATTCTCAGGTGAGAATTGACAACAACAACTGAAGAGTAAAGGTCAATAAAGGGATATATATATATATATATATATATATATATATATATGAAGAAGAACAGGGGAATGCTGCTCAGCTTGTCACAGATGAATATATACAGCTAGTAGGCAGCAGGCTCAGTAGAAAGAGCAAGACAGTGGAGACTCCACAAAGAATTTTATTGTCACTTTGCTAGGAGTCCCCCCTATAAGTCAGTCACTTAACCTTTCCTTTAACCTGGGTTTTGCTTTTTATTTTGTTTGTTTTTAATTGAGATTAATACAGGTTCAGTTCACAGTTTGCTTTCAGGTATAATACACAAAACTGTCTATCCTACATTATTCACTAATAATTCCCCCAAGATAAAACTCTCCCTTTGGCAACATAAATGTAGCTTTTTAAATTTGGTAGGTGTGCTTTTCTTAATAAAATGGTAAGGTTTTAAATATTCCGATGAGCGTTTATAACGCATGCGTACATGGCAGGGGAACTAGAGGCAGAACATGGTGTGAAGTCTGACTCAGCCGGTGAAAGGGGCTTGCAGGTGGAAACGCACGCTCTGGGAGAACGTACCTTGAAATGCTGCCACAGACGACCGAGCACGGGACCGTGCTGTGCAGGTACTGAACGGCTTTGGCTGTTCCGATTAACACGCTGATTCGAATGTGCCAAGAGAGTGGGGCTGTGTCCCCCTGAAAAGACAAGAGTAGTTGCTTTAGTTGCACTTTCGGAGTGAAAACCAGGCATGTATTCATTACATAGAATAGGGGTGTCGAACTCAATCAGAGAAGGGGCCAAAATCTAAAATCCAGCCTAAATCGCGGGCCGAATGGTTTACTGAACAGTCATAAACTGTCATTGTGATGGAAACGCAGCAGAGTGCAGTGATGACAGCGCGGTGCGGGCCACATTGCAAGGCCTGGCGGGACGGATTTGGCCCGCGGGCCTTGTGTTTGACACATGTGACATAGAAGATTGAGGTGAGGGGTGCTTTTTAATTCAAGAAAGGCTTTCCTCTACTCCCAATAGCTGTTCTAGGCCTTTGTAGCTCGTGAGACACCTAATAATGTGAATGTTAGTTTAGTCAAATTATGGGTAATTATGTTTAACACTTCATTAAATAAGATTTTAAAATTATTCGTGGCATAATAGTGTGGGTAATTGAAAATAATTTTATTTTATTCTCATCTTAACTGAAACCTATCTTATTGGAGTCAATTTTTAAGCATATTTAAAAAAAAAAAACACCTTATGAGTAATCATGGTGTAGTGTTCAACCTCCTTCACTTTAAGGAGCCTGTATTACTTTTATGTTTATGAATATTGAATAAACACCATGAATGGTACCTTGGTAATGTTATATAAATAAAAAATGATCTGAGAAGTAAAGGTAATTGTTGTAAACTCATTTGAGACGTAGAATCAATAAGGAGTAAGGACCCAGCAAATCTTTCGGCCACCGTGTTGTACATCACACGGTAACTCGGGCATTTATGCAGTCTTCTAAGAGTAAGAAATTAACTCGTGGGGAAGTCCTCTGCCTCCTTGTGAAACCCAGCGCAGACTATTCCCTCATACGAGTGTGCACACTGGGCTCCCAGCTCTCACCAAAGGTTTCAGCGGCTTCCAGGGGCGTCAGGGAATCGGAGGAGCAAGAAGAGTAATGGAAATGACTTACTACACACTGTAATCTGTCAAAAAGTGATCCGTTTCTCATGTATGGATAAACCAGGCAGAACTTCTCACTCTCTGCAAAATACGCGGCCAACTCCAGGATGTTTGGATGATGAAATCTTAAAACACAAGACATTTAAATCCATCAGATTGCTTATTCAACAACACCCTGGCCAGGGGGTGGGGAATAGGTATAAAGCGGAATATAAATTTGGCCAAGAGAGAAGTAATTTCATTGGACACACGACACAGATCTGCTTTCCAAATTGGTCAATTTGCTCTAACAAATACTAGTCACTCTGATTGACTGTGACCATGCAAATACAAATAGAATATACAAATATAAGAAAAAATTTAAGAAAGTGAGAGTTCTTAACATTTGGAGTGTTGGGAACTATACAACAAATAGACAACACTACTGAACATTAACTTATTTCTATCAGCATAAAACTCAATATAACTTATTTATTAAGTAAGTAAAGATAATGCAACTGAAATTATCCATTTCTTTGCTTTAGGTAGACATGGGTAAGTTAAGTCACCAAAAGAGAAGAGTACCAAAGACTTGTTTCATTCATCCATTTATTGAGAGATATGATGCTGCAGGTACTGCACTAGGTGTCGGTCACACAGGTAAAAGATGCATCCAATGTCTTCACAAAGTTTGTACTGTTATCCGAAACCCATGTGGCCAGTAAAGTTTAATGATGAAAAACATATCACTGATTTTTAAATCATAGAATTCTATGTCAATGAAAGATCCATTTTTTCAGGCTCCTTTCCTCTAATTAATCCCCTTTTAATGTGCAGGAATTTCATGCACTGGGTCACTAGTAGTAAAATAAACAAAGCGAACAAAGTATTTTTGCTATCTCCTTTCTGAGAAGAAGGAAATAAGAAAACAAATGCACAATGGAAAACATACAAGAAACTGATAACTCGATTGCTTTGGGAAAATTAGCTGGGTGGCTAGATGATAATAATGGAAGAAATTATTTTCTTGGTTTAGCCATTTGCACTTTAGGAATTTTGAAATCTTTGAACTTCTTTATTCATAAGCAAATAAATAAAGCTTAAATACTGGTATAAAACTCTTACCAATGCAATTTTGGTTGTGGTTGTTCATTGCCTAAATGATAGATATTAAGGATTGTTTTTTTAAATAAATCTTTATTGTTCAGATTATTACAAATGTTTTCCTCTTCCCCCTCCCCCATCAATTGCTCCCCTCCACCAGGTTCCCACCCCACCCTCTGCCTTTTCCCCATCCCCCATTGTCCTCATCCATAGGTGCACAGTTTTTGTTCAATCTCTTCCTGCAACCCCCACTTCCCTTTTCCCCGAGAATCGTCAGTCTACTCCCCTTCCATACATCTGATTCTATTATATTCAACAGTTAATATTATTCATCAGATTTTTTAATTCCCTTGGTTTTTAGTTTCACTTGTTGATAGTTAATATTTGTTGTCCATAATTTTTTTTAATATATTTTATTGATTTTGTACAGAGAAGAAGGGAAAGAGATAGTTAGAAACATCGATGAGAGAGAGTCATCAAGCAGCTGCCTCTTGCACACCCCCTACTGGGGATATGCCCGCAACCAAGGTACATGCCCTTGACCGGAATCTAACCCGGGACCCTTCAGTCCCCAAGCCGACGCTCTATCCATTGAGCCAAACCGGTCTCGGCTGTTGTCCATAATTTTTATCTTTATTTTCTTCCTCTTCCTAAAGAACCCCCTTCAGCAATTCATATAATTCTGGTATGGCGGTGATGAATTCCTTTAGCTTTTTTTTATTAGTGAAGCTCTTTATCTGGCCTTCGATTCTGAGTGATAGCTTTGCTGGGTAGAATATTTTTGGCTGTAGGTTCTTGTTATTCATCACCTTGAATATTTCTTTCCATTCCCGTCTGGCCTGCATGGTTTCTGTTGAGAAATCAGCTGACAATCGTATGGGTGCTCCTTTATAGATAACTACCTGCTTTTCTCTTGCTGCTTTTAATATTCTCTCTTTGTCTTTTGCTCTTGGAATTTTAATTATGATGTGTCTTGGTGTGGTCCTCTTTGGATTCCTTTTGTTTGGGGTTCTGTGCGCTTCTTGGACTTGTAAGTCTATTTCTTTCACCAGGTGGGGGAAGTTTTCTGTCACTATTTCTTCAAATATGCTTTTGGTATCTTGCTCTCTGTCATCTTCTGGGTCCCCCATAATTCTGATGTTGGTTCGCTTGAAGTTGTCCCAGAGATTTCTTACACTATCTTCAACTTTCTGTATTCTCTTATCTTCTTGCTTCTGTGGAGGAGTGTCCTCTTGCTCTTTGTGTTCTAAATCTTTGTCTTGATTCTTGCGATCTTCCAATCTGTTTTTAGGACTCTGTGTAATATTTTTTATTTCAGGTAATGTATTCTTTATTTCTAGTTGATTTCTTTTTATTTCTAGTTGATCCCTTTTCATATCCTCATAGGTCTCATTTATTTTATTGGCCTTTTTTAGGAAATTCTTGATAAACCTTATAATTGTAGTTTTGAACTCAATGTCCATTCTTTTCTTTTCCTCCATCTCCTTCCTTTGTGTCCTGCCTCTTCTCTGCATTTTAGTTATTTCCCTGATTTGATGGAATAGTTTTGAGTGTTCTGGTAGAGCCCAGTAGCACAGCCTTCCCAGTTACCTGCGGTGGACAGTCTTGGTGTAGCCCTTTGTGGGCTGTGTGTGCAGTCTTGTTATTAAGCCTTGCTTATTGTTGGTATCACTGGGAAGCATTGATCTCCAAGCCAATTGGCTGTGAGGATCAACAGTGTCTCAGCTAAGTGGGCTTCTGTACTCCGCTTGGATGGGGCGGAGTCTCGGAGTGGCACAGACAAGCTTTGGTTCTCTGTCAATCTCGCCTTAGGAAAGTCCTGTTCGCAGTGAATCTTGCAAGATTGGTTGCAGGCACACCTCTTTGGTAAAGGCGCAGACAAGCTTTGGATTCTAGTCAGTCCCTCCTTAGAAAAAGCCAGCCTCTGGGAGAGCTTCTGTGCTCAGCTTGGATGGGGCGGAGTCTCAGGGTGGTGCAGACAAGCTTTGGTTTCTCGTTGGCCCCTCTCCAAGTCTCGCAGTAATGGCTGCTGGCTTCACACACCTCCGAGAGATCTCTGCCCGCTGCCTGACAGTCCGGCCTCTCCCTGACTGGGGCCGTCTATCAGAGCAATAGGGTGATTCTGTTTTCCTCCCAAACAAGAAAGCCAGCTGTGTGTTAGCTGTCTGCCTTCTCTGTGCACCTGGAGTAAGCCAGCAGCAAACTTGGCCTGGCCCGCCCTCTCCACGCACTGGAATTAAGCCAGCAGTGAACTCTGTGGCTGCCTTTTTGCGCGTACAGTTCTCCACACCTTCTCTCTCCTTCCCAGATGGCAGAGCCTCATCTCAGCTAGCCGTCCGGTGCTTCAGGGTGATGTTTCTCCTGTTTTCCAGTTTTAAATTCAAAATTGTTGTGGTAGGCTGCATTCAGGTGTCTACCCTATGCCGCCATCTTGGTTTCTCTCTGATATTAAGGATTTTTTAAATATATTTTTATTGGTTTGAGAGAGCAAGAAATAGAAACATCAATGATGAAAGAAAATCATTGATTGGCTGCCTCCTGCATGCCCCACACTGGGCATTGAGCCTGCAACCTGGGTATGGTGCCCTGATAGGGAATTGAACCATGATCTGCTGGTTCATAGGTTGTCACGCAACCACTGAGCCACACCAGCTGGGCTAGATATTAAGTTTTTAAAATTAGCCTTTAAGGTGATGATTTCCGGTCCTGGGTATAAAAGGAGAAGGATTTATAGTATGCTCCCTTCTCCAGGCATGTATTGGTCACATTAGAAGAGAATAATTTCTATTTGTAAAGAGTTATGATTGAGCTCTCTAGGGTTAGGGGCCTTCAGTGAGGCAGGCTGCACAGCTGCAGATATGAATATATATGAAAATGAAGTCATTTTGGTTTGTCCCCCAAGGACTCTTAGGCCCGTGAATGAATTCCCAAAAAATAATATACACATCAGAAGTACTTGATTTCTTAGTCTAAAATTCTCTTCCTGACGAGGGTTATACCAATAAAATAGTTCCTTGACTGGAATGTCTCTAAGGAAGGGGGAAATGGTAATATATATTCAATTCTAATGTTCTAGGAATTATTTTATACTCAGCTATGTTAGTCACACATGATTTAACCCACTTCTCTATGACAGGTTCTTGTTAAAATATGTTCAAGTGAATTATGTGAATGGCCTATTTTAAAATGTATTCTGAGAAATATACTAAAGCAGATGTCAAAAATTTACAGTGTTCTATTATCCAACCCTTATTTTTTAAATGCCAACCATGCTGCAGAATCAAAGATGAATGGAGATGAAAACCAGATACAAAGGGAGGAATTCCAGGCAAATTATACTCACAGTAGTAAAACTTCAAGCTCTGATAAAAACCTCTTCCATTGTTTCTTGCATTGCATTGTTTTCTCCTAAAGATCATACAGAAAAACAAGGGAGTAAAAATTATGGAAAGGCTCACTATTCTTGGGAGTCTTAGCCTAGGGCCCACGGTCTCCCTGAAATTAGATAAGCTTTTTGGTGAAAATGCAAATGAACATTTTTCTGGGAAGAGAATATTAGGTCTAGTAATAATTAATGTCGTTTTCTAATACTTTTTAAAATCGAATTTATTTAAACAATACAACAAAATTTAATCAACAATATAGTTGCCGTTGTTTTCTACTACTTGTGCCCAATGCTCAGGAAGCATTTTAATCCCTCTGTTGTAAAATTCTTGTGAATTTGATGCAAAAAATTCGGTCAATGCATTTTTGAGGCATTCTTCATTATTAAATTTTTTTCCAAGAAGAAAGTTTTGCAAAGAACGACACAAATGGTAATCAGAAGGGGCAATATCAGGAGAATATGCAGGTTGAGGGAGAACTTCCCGTTCCAACTGGCGCAGTTTTTCAGCAGTGATTCTTGCAGTATGCGGTCGTGCGTTATCGTGGTGAAGAATTACGCCCTTCCGATTAATCAGCGCGGGTTCTTTTTCTCTTAAAGCTTGGGCTAACCTTTCCAATTGGGCACTATACACTGCACTTGTAATGGTTTGGTTAGATGGTAAAGGTTTATAATGAAGAATTCCTTTAAAATTCCACCAAACACACAACATCACTTTTTTCGCATGCAAGTCAGGTTTTGGCGTGGGCTGCAGAGCCTCATTTTTGTCCAACCATTGAAGCCACCTTCTCAAATTAACATACAGCACCCATTCTTCATCTCTGGTAACAATTTGCTCTAAAAACGGCAAATGGTTTTGACGAGAGAGGAGCGAACTGCAAATTGTGACTCTTTGATTACGGTTGTTGTCGGTCAACTCATGAGGAACCCATTTTCCAAACTTTTGGACTTTGCCAAATGCACGCAATTGATTGGAAATTGTTTTTTGTGAACAATTTAAAGTTGTCGCAAGCTCTTGTTGGGTAATTTGAGGATTTTGCACCAAAAGAGCTTGAAGAGCTTCTTGATCAAAATTGGACACACGGCCTCGACCACTCTTGTTATCTAACAAAAAATTTCCCTCGCGAAATTTCTCAAACCAATGCTGGCATTTTCTGGCGCTAACTGCATCTTGACCAAGAACACTACAGATGTTTTTTGCAGCCTCACTTGCTTTTCTTCCTAATTGGAACTCGTAAAGCATGCAGTGCCGAATATGCTCTTCATCCGCCATCTTCTTAGCCCTAGTTTTGCAACAAAAACCAAAAAAAAACACACAAACTTTTTCAAGCAAAACTTGTTAATTGCACTTCACACGTTCTGTAGATACCACGTGTTTGAAGGTTATGTCAATACAAGTCAACTCCAAGCAAGATTTTAAACGAATGTTTAAAAACGACATTAATTGTTACTAGACCCGATACTTAGATTTAATAAGATTTTCAAAAATCCATTAACCCCCAAACAGATTTAGAACCAATGCTATCAAATTAATTTTTTAAATTAAGTTTTTCATGTTGCCATGAAATAGTTTGAACTATTTTACCTTTTTCACAAATTTAAAAATAGTATATGTATTCAAATAAATCCCATGATGTTTAGAAATTCCTCACTTGATCTCATGAAGAATTCAGTTTGTCATCCCCGAATTCTAGTTAATGAATCTTACTAAGTTGGCATTTTTGACTTGGGTCATGTGAACAGTTTGGTTCAAGTTTACTTCTGTACTAATTTTGAAAAGATGGGCCTAGTAAGCAAGTGAAAAATATAATTCCTTACTTCAAAGATGCTTCAGAAGCTAGCCCAGTGCCTGACAAATATTTATTGAATAGATTAATGAGTTCAATGATATTGGCCTAAGCATCCTCTCTATACCTGGCACTGTTCTCAAGGGCTTCACACACCTTATGTCACACTGGTCTCTGAACTTCAGGTTCCTGACTTCTACCATAAAAGAGTTCAGTTAAGTGTGTCCTTAGGTCCCATCAGGTGTAAGGTTCTTTCATTTGCAAATTTCTAAACTGGGCAGTTTTCAGAGCTCTCTGTCCTCAAAAATAAAGGAAGAAAAATCTAACAAGAATTCTGGAAACTATTTTCCAAGTTAATCAGGAAGTCAGAAACAATAAACTAGGTTGACAGCTCATTTTCAAAGACGTCTTTATGAAGATTTATATTTTAAAAAACCATTGTCATGTGATCCAAGTGGCTTGGGTCTCGGGCTCATTGCTAGCACCCACTATTGGTGACTTTTTGTCACTTAATTTCCCTGAGGTCAGACTTTTCTTAATCTTAACAGTGAAGGGTTTAGTTTCTGTGTCTGCGCTAACCTAGCATTCTTGCTGCTCCAAGTGCGGTCTGTGCACAAGGAACATCAACTTCACTAGGAGCTGGTGAGAAAGGCTGAGTCTCAGGTCCCTTGCCCAGATGTGCTGAGTCAGAACAGTAAGCTTCCCAGATGTTGGATGCACCTATCTCATGCATCTGGTATGTTTCCCTCTACCTTTGTCATCTCCTATCTTTTTACTCCTAGATATTAGCAACGAACATCAGAAAACTGGCATCATTATCATTCATTTCATTGCTTGACAAACATCTATTGAGCAACTACTATGGTTCAGGCCCTGTTGTGAGGCACTAGGATACTAAGATAAATAAGAGCTCTTTGAAGAAAACCATCTAGCCTATTGTGAGATACAAGTGAGGAAATCTGTACTATGATATAACGCTGTGATGCTGTGTCTACACTTAGGAGGGTCAGCAAAACCATCCTGGAGGGATCAGAGGCAATCAAAGAAGTAATTCTCTGGGGCAGGAGATCGAAGGAAAGGAAGGAGATCTAAAGGCAATGATATCTCATTTTGAAGCCAGACAGACTCCTGGAAACAAAACTCCCCAAAGGGAATGAGAGTTGGTGGTAGCTACAGAGAGAAGAGGAAGGTGGGTGGATGGAGCCTTTGGGGAGATGTCTCTGGGGTGCCACCAAAGGGGAATGTACTAATGGGGCCAGAGACACACTAGTGCTAAGACACAGGCTCTGGTTAGGCCACCTCTATAGTAACCTCATTCCCTGTTGAATGGTTTTACCGGTAAATAGGTCCATTTGTTTAATAGACCACTCATCTTATCAGAAATGTTGAGATGCCTATCTAGAATTGGTGGATGAAACGCAATTGAGGAAATGGAGAAATCAGGGTAGTAATTTTTTTTTTAAGTCCTTGTAATGTAAGCTGCAAAGTAGGATTCATGTTAGGACTGCCCTCTTTCTCCCCTATTTCCTCAGCCCTATCTAATAGATCACTGTTTTGGTCCATTTCATCTCTTCTCTTAGACATCCTCCTTGCCTTCCCCCCTGCCTCTACCCCACCTTACACACCTGAGAAGCTTTTAACAAACACTGACACCACCCTGGCTGCTGTGGTTCAGTTGGAGCATCATCCCATAGGATGTCTCCGATATCAATGTTTCTCTCTCGCTCACTCTCTCAATATCAATTTTTTAAAAATATTGATGCCTGCCACCACCAATCACCTCTAGTCTGACCTAACCAGACACTAAGGGGATCATTTTTTTTTTTAAGCTCCAGAAGTAATTCTAATATTAGAGCTAAGAACATTTGTTTAAGCTCAATTCATTTATACATCTGAAAGATCCCTCTGCCAGGTCTTTTCACCTCAGGTCCAAGTTCTTGCCACCCTTCCTCCAATGCTTCTGCTCACTTCCTGTCTGTCATCTAACCTTGTAATCAAATTACATTTCAAAAACTCCAATCTAGTCTTTTTACTCTCCCTCTTGCAAACCATCCATGGACTTAACCTATCTTCCCAGTATCATTTGCTGCCTCTTCCTTCCCGCTCCCACACTAATCTCTACTCCACCGAACAATCTATTAATCATGAGTAAGATGCTTTCATGCCTGCGCCTTCAGGCCTATGCATCTGCTACTTGTTCCACCCCAGAAGGACTCGCCCTCCCTCACTGCTGGCCAAATCCTACTCACCCTTCAAAATCCAGCTGAAAGTTTACTTCCTTTCATCCACTTCTCCATTTGTTCATTGCAAAAAAAATTTTTTTAATATATTTTTATTGAATTTTCACAGAGAGGAAGAGAGAGGGATAGAGAGCTAAAGAGCTAGAAACATCCATGAGAGAGAATCATCGATCAGCTGCCTCCTGCACACCCCCCACTGGGGATGTGCCCGCAACCAACGTACATGCCCTTGACCGGAATCAAACCCGGGACCTTTCAGTCTGCAGGCCAACGCTCTGTCCATTGAGCCAAACTGGTTTCGGCCATTGCAAAAATTTTATTGAGTGGTTACTCTGTGCCAGGCACTCTCCTGGGTGCTGGACACGCTCCTCCTCTGGCTATATGGTATGTGCTCCTGTAACTTTTTGGACAAACCTCTGCTAAAGTACTCCTCACGTTGCAATTTAACGTTTTCTTTAGCTGGCTGTTTCCCCCTTTTAAACTCTGAGCAACTTGAGGATGAAATAGGCCTTATTCATCTTTGCAAGCTCAACACCCAGCCCATAGAAGGAGTTTTTAACTGCTTAGTGATTGTTGGCTAACAGTGAAGAGCACGAGGAGCAGCTCTTTGGGGTGTGAGTGTACCTATCTCTCCCGGACTCCTGGGTTAGATGCCTCAGGGCCCTTGCTGCCCTACTGGCTGCAGTCACTCAGCTGTCTCCCAATTTCCTACTCTCATAGTTGCTTTGCTGCTCCTACCTGAAGCCTCCCCTCTTCTACCCTCCAGAACTCTGTCAGAAGACCATTCATAAAGCAGCATGGGATGCCACTCTATGGCTTAGCCTCTGAAGCTGCCCATCAAACAAACAGGAAAATGGGAACAGCGGGCACAAGCTGACTATCTGAAGCGAAGTCCCAAAGGTTCTTCAAGGCTTTTCAGAAAAGTCTTTCTCATGCAATCCATCTGGGGATGGGAAGGATCTGACTTCCACATTCCTGCAAGACAGTCATTCACTTCTCAGTCATTTCTCCGGTCACCTGAGATCGCGTATCTTATTTCCACTTCTAAGATTATATTTTCAAATGCCTCTTTTCAATCTTGATGAAAAATGACACATTTTTAGTATGAAGCATAGCAAATAAGCAGAACTGATATCCTGTGAGAGTAATTCTTTCCATACCTGTTTAAACAACTTAATGGCATAGGTTTGGTTTTGGATCTCCGCTCTGTATACCTCGAAAATCTCCCCTTCTCCAATGAGGAAACCTTTGTGGAAGTTGTTGGTTCCTTCTAGGACGTTTTGAAAGCTGATAGAGGAGTTAAGCACTATTCCTTTGGAAGGAAAGTAGAGAGAAGATAAGTTACCTTTTCTTGAGTCAATGCCACCATTATAAAGAAGTAGGACTTCCATACCAGAAACACATCAAAACACAGTGGAAAGTCAGTCAGGTGAGGCACAGGAAACAAATGGAAACCCACCACGTGCTTTCTGCACAGTTACTCAGGTCTGGTGCCCACCGTTTCACAGAGCAAATGACTTTTTAGATATTCCAACAATAGCACTGTTATTCTACCATCCTTACATAGAGGTCAGCCAAAAAGCTTAGTTGGGAAACTTTTCCAAGATTCTGTTTCTTTGTCACTAGAACTATGAAGAATGAAAAACCAGTAAAAATAAAAAAGCATATTAGTGGAAAACTTGCTATTACTAAACAATATTTTCCAAGAATGACTGATGGAAACATTGTTCATTAGCCAAAACTTCCAAATGCCTTACTTTCGCAGAGTAAATTAGGAAGATGCAATAGCAAAGATTGGGAAGAAACATTTAAAAAGTAATCAAGTCGAAACTGGTTTGGCTCAGTGGATAGAGCGTCAGCCTGCGGACTGAAAGGTCCCAGGTTCGATTCCGGTCAAGGGCATGTACGTTGGTTGCGGGCATATCCCCAGTGGGGGGTGTGCAAGAGGCAGTTGATCGATGATTCTCTCTCATCGATGTTTCTAACTCTCTATCACTCTCTCTTCCTCTCTGTAAAAAATCAATAAAATATATATTTTTTAAATAAAAATAAAAAGTAATCAAATACAAATCCAAAAGCAAAAGCTTGGCTAAATCCTTCAGAACCCAATTTTGGCTATATTTCCACGTTTAATGTTTGACTTAGACTTTACTGTTAAGTCTTAAAGGACCAACATTTTCTAAATCTCTTTTGAACCAAAGAAGCATCAGATCTAGTGGCAAAGATTAGACAAGGCAGCCTTAGAGAGCCACTAGAGTTTATCAGAATGATTCCTAGGCAGAACTAAATTATGCTCTATGCTAATAAAGTAGGAAAGTTGATATGGAAAATAACTGGATTTTCACAGTGACTTTCAGAATTGCTCTACAAATATCTCTAAAAATCTCTGCAAATGCTATAAAAAAATTTAAAGCTATGTAAAACCCAACATAATTTTTAAATGTTTTCCTGACACATAAAAGTAGCAAATTTCACTAACAAAAAATAAGAAATCCCTTAAGAGAACACAATTATGTTCTTCATTGGGCAATATATTTTTAATTTCACAATAATATATCATCCATAAGAACTTTCTCAGTCAAAATTGCAAATATTTTGATACCTATGAAAATTTTATCCTGAATCTGAATATTAATGAACAGTTAATATACTTATTGGATATTTCTCCCTCTCAATTGACTTAATTGAACACATGATTTTAAAAGAAGCAACATAAACTGATGGACAAAAACAGATCCAGAGACAATGCAGCATCTTTCAGACTGTCAAACTTCAGAGGAAAGATAGGGGAGGGTGGGTGGTAAGGGGGAGAGATCAACCAAAGGACTTGTGTGTATGCATATGAGCCTAACCAATGGACACAGACAACAGGGAGGTGAGGGCATAAGTGGGGGGTTTGGGGAGAAATGGGGAGATAAAAACAAATCTATAATACCTTAATAAAAAATAATTAATAAAGGAATAAAAAGAAGTTTGGGTGTTTGATTTTTTTTGTGTGTGTTTTTACCTTTTTTATTATGTTCAGGGATAGGAACATCATCCACTCTGACATTGGCTGTTTCCTAAGAGAAGGAATACATATTAAAGTAATTCAATTTCATAAGTCTAGATAGAACAGAATTTCAACAGAAATCCAAAGCTCCCTCTGGGACTCTACATTTCAACAGAGTGAAATCTAATTTGGAAGAAAGCAAAATTATTTTATTTTATTCAATGATATTCATTGCCTTAAATATTTAAGGCTTCCAGACCAACTGTAAAAACTTAAATATCAATGTCATAGTCAGTTATACTCGATTTTAAATGACTTCTATTGCTATAAAAGTGATCACTGCTAATTTGCTGTCAGAAAAGCTACAGCAATATGGAAAACACCGATTAGAACAGGAAAATTAAAACAAATGCATAACTCACAGCATCCTTAATGGTTCCAAGTCTCATCTCTGACAGCTCACTGTGAGGAGAAGGTGAACTCCTCAAGCATCTATGAATCTCTAATTTCCTGAATCCCCAACTAAACAAAGAATAATGAGCGCTAGGCTTGTCTGCTTTTACATTGGTACCTGAAGTGCAACATTTTTCTGCATTTATGCTCAATTATGTATGCAACAGATTTCAAGGGTCATTATTTGTGTGCACACACTCTACCTTGGAGAATAAGTCTGGAAATCCATCTCCCTGAGGACTCTGCTCTGGAGGATTCAAGGCTGCTCCTGAAAGAGAGGTAAGCGGAGCTGGATTCAAAAACCTTTTATGTTCCTAATAGACATGTTCTTTTTTCTTTCTTAGACTGTGAAAATAAACACCTTGCTAGTAATGTTCATTTCTAAAGCTCAGTTTCATTTCTATGGAATAGTTACAAATGTATGCTTGTGAATACTGTGTTTCCCCGAAAATAAGACATCCTCCGAAAATAAGACCTAGCGCATGGAAAGATAAGACATCCCCTGAAAATAAGACCTAGCGCAACTTCGGGAGAAAAAATTAATATAAGACACTGTCTTATTTTCGGGGAAACAGGGTAGCTTTCTAATGATCAAATAATTTACAAACATATTTTGGTTCACTTAAAACAGGAATACCAACCTTAAATTAGTGTTAGGTAATATTAAAAAGGTAAAGTAGAAAATTAAAAGGAAAAAAAAAAAACACAAAAAACATTGTTATCTTTTTGCCACATATATTGTAAAAATTTTTTACAACTATAGGATTATATCTCCCTCAGTTAGTTCATTTTTTATCCCATCTTATGCCATAAGCGTGAATGTGTGTGGGTGTGCATGCATGTGTGTGTGTGCTTGTGTTAACCACTACATATACTCGCCACCACTCCCCAGTTTTAGACTGTAACTTCTGTCTGTTATAGTTCTGTCTGAACTCAGGTAATTTATGTGGCTTCCTACAAAAGATTAAAACCCTGCAATATTTTGCAGTCGCTTCTGATATTTTTATTCAGACTTTAGAAAATGTCATTTTCAAATTTTTCTTAGATTGGTTCTACTGTTCCTTAAATTATTTACTTAGAAGACTGGCAACAAAACACAATAAATTGATAACAAATCTCCTTGAAAAACACTATAAATTAAACATTATAGACCTAACAGACATCTATTGAACATTCCATCCCCAAACAAAAGACGATACACAATCTTCACAAGTGTACATTGAACAGTCTCCAGAAGAGACACATGTTAGGCAATAAAATGAGCTTCAATAAATATGGCAGGTTTGAAATCATACAAAGCATATTCTCTGACCACTATGTAATTAAAGTAGAAATCAGTAACAGAAGGAAATCTGGGAAGTTTACAAATACATGGAAATTAAACAACAAATTCATAAATAATAAAGTCAAAGAAGAATCCCAAGGAAAATTAGAAAATATTTCAAAATGAATGAAAATAAAAACATATGGCCTGGCTGGTGTGGCTCCATGGTTGAGCATCAATCTATGAACCAGGAGGTTAAGGTTCAGTTTCTGGTCAGGGCAGATGCCTGGGTTGTGGGCTTGATCCCCAGTGTGGAGCCTGTGAGAGGCAGCCGATCAATGATTCTTTCTCATCATTGATGTTTCTATATTTCTCTCCTTCTCCCTTCCTCTCTGAAATCAATAAAATTTTAAAAAACCAAATACAACATATCAAAACATAATACAGCCAAAGTAAAATGTATTGAGGCTCATTTAAAGGAAAACTTATAGCTGTGTATGCCTACCTTAAAAAAGAATATCTCAAATACATAGCCTAAACTTATACCTTAAGTAGCTAGAAAAAGAAGAGTGAACTAAACTGAAGAAGGCAGAAGGAAAGAAAAATTTAAGATTTGAGTGGAATTAAATAAAATTTTAAAAATAGAAAAACAAAAAAGAAAAAATGAAGAAAACCAAAGTGGAGTCTTTAAAGAAATGAAAAATTGACAATCCTTTATTTAAACTGACGAAGAAAGAAGAAAGCTAAAACTACTAAAAAATAAACAAAAGAGGAGACTTTATAGAAATAAAAAGAATTATAATGGAATACAAGAACAACTATATGAAAAGAATTAAATAACTTAGATGATATAAACAGATTTCTAGAAAAATACAAATTACTGATACTAACTCAAGAAGAAATAATCTAAATGGGCCTATAACAAAAAGATTGAGTTAATATGTTAAGACTTCCCTAAAGAAAAGTCCAAGTCAGGGTAAATTCACAGGTGAGTTCTACCAATAACTAAAGAAGATTTAACACCAGTCCTTCACAAATTTTTCAAAAATAGAATTTATTCCAAAATTATTCTTTGAGGCCAATATTTTCCTTATACCAATGCCAGACAAAACATCACAATAAAACTACAGACCAATATCTCTTATGATCTCTTATGTATAAAGATGCAAAAATCTTCCACAAAATACTAATAAACAGATCCAGAAATATATAAGAATTATATACTACAACCAAGTGGGATTCATCCCAGAATCCAATATTGCCTTAATATCTGAAAATCAGAATGGGAGAAACCAAGATGAAAGCATAGGTAACCGCCTAACTGCAGCCTCACACAACAATTTCAAAAAATACAACTAAAATATAAAGTGGACATTATCCAGAACTACAGGAAAGTTGACTGACTGGAAATTCTACAATGAGAAGGAAAGAGAAAACCAGAAGAAAAATCAAAGGAGCTGTAAATGCCTAAGGTACGGAGACACGTTGTGTGCGCAGAGAGGACTGAGCCGGAGAGGAGGAGCAGCTGAGTGCCTGGCTGGCGTTCCCTAGCAGGAAGGAGATAAAAGATCCGGACTGTGCTTAACCCCAGTTCCAACAGCACTGAACCCCAGACACATACAAAGGGAATCTGGGCTGTAAGGCAGAAGTTCAGAGGAGTGGCTAAAGGCAGAGCCCCAGAGTCACGCACATTGTGGGCAGAGGGCTGACTGTTGACTGTGCTCCTAAATTGCCCTACCGGGAAGGAGACAAAAGCTCTGGACTGTGCTGAGCCCCAGTTCCGACTGCACTGAACCCCAGTTCTGGGCGAGACCCTTGGGCCCCAGGCTCATACAGAGGGAATCTGGGCTGTAATGCGAAAGCTCAGGGGAGCGGCGAAAGGCAGAGCCCCCGAATTGCACACATTTCGCGCAGAGGACAGACTGTTGATTGAGCCGCTGGATTGCCCTAGTGGGAAGGAGACATAAGCTCCGGACTGCTCTTAATCCCACTTCCAACTGCACTGAACCCATTGCAGGCTTGTTGGGGGAGAGACTAGACTGTCTGGTAGCGGGCAAAACTTGAGGGCATCTTTCTCTCAGAGGTGCTTGCAGGGAGTACCAAAGGACACTGAGGAACACTGAGACTCAGGAACCTATGAGGTGAAGCCAAGGCTGTAGGCTCCACCCTGAAACTCCGCCCCATCCAAGCTCAGCACAGAGGCTCTTGCAGTTTTCCAAGTCTAGTCAAATAAGGCTGTCTCTTGGCATAGATACAGTCGATCCTCCAACCCTACCAACTCAGGGAAGCAGCAAAAATGCCGAGACAAGGAAACAGATAACAAACAAAAGAAATGGAGGACAAAAAGTGATTGGATATAGAGTTCAAAACCACGCTTATAAAGTTTTTCAAGAATCTCCTAGAAAAGGCCAATAAAATAAAAAAGACCTATGAAGATATTAAAAGGGATCAACTAGAAATAATAAAGGATCAACTAGAAATAATAAGGAATCAACAAGAAATAATAAGGGATCAACAAGAAATAAAGAATACTTTCTCTGAAATAAAAAATATTATACGGAGTCCTAAAAACAGAATGGAAGACCGCAAGAATCAAGTCAAAGACTTGGAACACGAAGAGCCAGAGGACACTCCTTCGTAGAAGAAAGAAGACAAGAGAATCCAGAAAGTTGAAGATAGTATAAGAAACCTCTGGGTCAACTTCAAGCGAACCAACATCAGAATTATGGGGGTCCCAGAAGATGACAGAGAGCAAGATACCGAAAACATATTGAAAAAAATAGTGACAGAAAACTTCCCCCACCTGGTGAAAGAAACAGACTTACAAGTCCAAGAAGCGCACAGAACCCTAAACAAAAGAAATCCAAAGAGGACCACACCAAGACACATCATAATTAAAATTCCAAGAGCAAAAGACAAAGAGAGAATATTAAAAGCAGCAAGAGAAAAGCAGGTAGTTACCTATAAAGGAGCACCCATACGATTGTCAGCTGATTTCTCAACAGAAACCATGCAGGCCAGACGGGAATGGAAAGAAATATTCAAGGTGATGAGTAACAAGAACCTACAGCCAAAAATACTCTACCCAGCAAAGCTATCACTCAGAATCGAAGGCCAGATAAAGAGCTTCACCAATAAAAAAAAAAAAGCTAAAGGAGTTCATCACCACCAAACCAGAATTATATGAATTGCTGAAGGGGGTTCTTTAAAAAGAGGAAGAAGATAAAGATAAAAATTATGAACAACGAATATGTAACTATCAACTAGTGAATCTAAAAACCAAGGGAATTGCCGGGTCTGGTTTGGCTCAGTGGATAGAGCATTGGCCTGCGGACAGAAAGGTCCCGGGTTCAATTCCAGTTGAGAGCATGTACCTTGGTTGCAGGCACATCCCCAGTAGGGGGTGTGCAAGAGGCAGCTGATCGATGATTCTCTCTCATCAATGTTTCTAACTCTCTATCTTCCTCTCTGTGAAAAATCAATAAAATATATTTTTAATAAATAAATAAATAAATAAATAAATAAATAAAAACAAGAGAATTGAAAACCTGATGGACAATATTAACTGTTGAATATGATAGAATCAGAGGTACGGATTCTCAGGGAAAAGAGGAGAGGGGGACGTGGGAAGAGACTGAACATAAACTGTGCACCTATGGATGAGGACAATTGTGGGTGGGGAAAGGGCAGAGGGTGGGGTGGGAACCTGGTAGAGGGGGAAAAATTGGGGAACTTTTGTAATAATATGAACAATAAAGATTTATTTTAAAAAATATCTGAAAATCAATCAGTAAAATAAATCATATTCATAGAATGAAGAACAAAACCTGTTAAATCCAATAACCTATCATCATAACAACTATATAGCAATAGAATTTCCTTAATTTGATAAAAAGCATTTATGAACAGATAGCATCATTTACAATTGTGAAAAACTGAATAGTTTCTCTTTTAGATCAACAACAAGAAAAGGATGTCTGGTCTTGCCACTTGTATTCAGTAAT